ATTTATTTATTTATCTATCTATTTGTTTGCCTGTTTATTTACCTATTTATTTAATTTATACCCTGAGGGTTGCCAAATGCGTAGGTATTAAGTCTTGTCATCGTTGTATTATAGGCTGGGAAAATTCTTCTCAGTTAATTAGATATAGGGCAATAAAGTTGGTTGTAACGGTGAAAGAACAGTTTGACTTATAAATATTCCGTTTTTGAATGAAATGCGACATCTTCAGTAGCTTTTTTATATTTCAAAGGTGATGGAAGCCATAGCTGAACATGACTTCAACGCTACAGCTGAAGACGAACTTAGTTTTCGTAGGGGACAGGTGTTAAAGGTACTGTTTTTCAATCGTATCTTGTTTCCTATTTCATTAACAGATCAATATTTTTTATATTATAATTTAATTTTGTTTACGGTGATTTATTTATTTCCTTTTTTTATTAAGTTATTCTTCTAGGAGACAGAAGTAGTTAAAATAGTTTTCCTTTTATTTTCAGGTCTTTAGTACCCCCCTTGTTCTGCCAAAAGCAAAAGGTTTTTCGTTTTCTAGTCTTTATTTTTTATTTTGAATCGACATTGGATATTTTAATTTTTTTATGTTTCTTGAAACCTGAGCATGCAGTTCTGATAAGTTTAATGTTCAGAAATAATTTTTGCGGTGTTCCATTACTGGCGTTAGTCTATTTGAAGTCTTACTGGTTCCAGAAATTTTCCAATAAATTGCTACGAGATAATTAGACAAATTTTTTTTATAGCCGTAATTGCGGTGGTGCTTATTATTTGTTTAATTATTCTGTAAAATTATTTATTTATTCTTTTGGGGATGTATAAAGCTGTTAAGTTTGTGTTTGGAAATCGCCTTAATTAGTAAAATTCTTTGAAGGACACTTTGCGTTACTGTTTTCTAAAATGGCAAATAAAAGTTTGTTTGCCGCTGTTTTTTTTCTTTTTGTTGTTAGTTTCTAGTACCCTCTTTTTTTTAACTTCCGGAAAATGCGATGTACTAGTTTTCCTTTTCACTTGAAGGTCACTGCAAATGTCGAAATTATCGAAATTTGGTTTTAAAAAATGAATTTGATTTCAATTACATATTGCTCATGCAAATATTAAATATTTAAGTTGACCGCGGCAGTAGAGAGAGGTTGAAAATTTAAAAAAATTACGTTTAAATGACCAGATGTACCAATTTTTGTTTTATAAATGATATTTTAACATAGGAAATATCAAGTTCTGTAGTCATACGAAATAAAAATGTAGCGTAGGTTTTACGATTT